TTTTTAAAAGTTCGAGCACGAAGGCTCCCCTCGCCTCTCCTTCATTCGCTTTCTCGAAAGGGATCTCATCTGAACGCGATAGCGTAAGATGCCGGAGCTTTAGAATGTAATTGAATTTAAATTGAAATTATGATGGCGCGGTTGGTATCGCGGTAAGCTCGCTCGTGTCGAGGCGCGAGCGAGTTCTGCGAGATCAACGCGAGAACGCAAACTTGTTAACTGTACGAAAAATATAGGCTGGTCTATGCATGCCCGTGGCTTTGGACGACGGATAATTAATCAAATGCGGGAAACTGATTTGCTTACTTACTTGATTCTAAATTTGAAAATGATTGTCAACGTTCAGTTGTCAATATTTTCCCTTTTGAAGACACGTAGACGTGCAATTTAAATAACTCCTCGAGCTCAGTCAAGATTGTTACGAAGATGTAAATCTTTATTTTTAGCAATATAATTATTGCCTGCAGTTAATTGTTTTATTCTATGATATATTATATGTAACAATCTTATTACATATAAGTTATTATTATTCTATCATTACATATAATAATCTTAATTATTTCTTGAAAAAGTGAGAGTATCAGATTTATGTTTAATTACTTGGATACAAAGTCTAGAACGTTAGAAAGGAGTGAACTTTCTATTCACCCGTTATTACGAAAGAGAAACAGAAAGGTTATTCCTCCCGAGTAGGTCGGGCCATCTATTTCAGGCTTGAGGCAATTCGCCAAATTTATGTTAATTGTGCGAATTTTCATTTCTAGCCATCTGTGAACGATGTACATTTCTTATTTCTATCCGGATTACATAAAGATCTGTACGTAATTTTTATCTGTAGCAAACGTTTGTCTATTCGCAATTTAGATTCACAACGTTTCCAGTACTATTACTCATTCGAGTAAAATTTCGCTATTGCTCGTTTTCTGCTAAATTTTTTTATTTTGTGTACTTACTCTACGAAATACATGTTAGGATTGTCATTAAAATTTTTAAAAGGAGTTGAAGAAAGGAAATTTAAATTAGACGTGATTTTTAGTAAGATTATTCCGTAGAATTGTGGCCTAGATGTAGTTAAAAACTCTCAGATTATGATTTTATGTTATAAAATAAAAAGTCTCTCCTCGTGATAAGCTGCATCTTCATATTCAAACGCAATTGAAGAAATGGAACGTAAGGAGAGGTTTGTTTCACTCACTAAACGTCATAAGGAATATTCTACGTTGAATGTTTTACATCTCATCTTTATTCCGTATATTTTGCACTTTAAATTTTCCATAAATGCATGAAACGCATACATTTGTAATGTATCTACATCTTTTTAAAAATTTATTTCCAGTATCTAGATTTGTTTCTGTCGAGATTATATTATACACATATGTATTTATTCATAAAAAGAATATTCAGTTCACACATAACATCGAATTATAAATCTTTCATTAGAATTATCAACTGAAATAGAAACTTTGGAGAAACAGCAAAGATTTATGGTGTAAAAAAGAACACGAGTTTTCATTTAGATATTCTACGAAAGGTGATAGAGATTTTATTTTTTTAAAGGTATTTAAAGGTTTTATTTCGTTCAAATTTTGGATATGTCAAATTTCTATAAAAGAATTACAAATTTATCATTTACTACACAGTCGTTTTACACACTATTTCAAACCAAAAAAAAAAAAGGGGGAAGAAACTCTCCTTTTCCCGTTTTCGAAAGAAGAATCGCCACGTGTTACCGCGTCCATTGTCATTCACGATACTACTTGCCAACAGCCGCGTAATCGATGGCACAGTTCAGCAATAAAACGCGCAGTGACGCGCGATTCTATCGCGGCGACGTACGGCGACGCATAAATCTGTCGCGAAAAAAGAAATCGAGCCGCGTGCCGGCCAATCTCGATCGGTAATTTTACTTCGTGAGCGGCACTAACGCAGTCCGATTGTCCCCGCGGCTCGTGCAACAGCCGACGTTTCCGGCACTCGGCCCGCTTTTCGATCACCTCCGATCGATCGATCGATCGTCGTCGTCTTCGCGTAACGGTGCCACGGATAAATGCATCCAACAGCGAGCTCACAGGCAGCTCGAGAAAGAGAGGATTGATCGGCAACGATTTACGATTTCCAGGGTGACATTGGCGCCTACCGATCCAGAGCTAACGTCGGCATCGCCGCCGGTGCTTTTGCAAGAACAGGCAGCGGTCTTCCGAGTTGCAGGAACCAGAGCTACTCGTCGTCCATTGGTTCCGGTTCCAGCCGAATGCATGGCAAGGACAGAGTTTCCGGGTTTGGAAACGCTTTCCTGAAGAAAGACAAGGAGGAGAAATCTACATTTAAATATTCCAGTAAGTTGCTTGCGACTATGTTCAAACGTTTTTTGTCACTTTAGGTTTCTAACGTTTGCTGTTGACCGATAAGAACGATATTTAGTATTATCGCGTTAGATTCAGAGTATTAAATTCAATATAAAATAGAATTCTATAGAATAGAATAATACGGTACAATATGTAAAGAAGTATGAAGGGAATGGTATATTAGTTTATGAGTTTATAGAAGATGGAGAACACATGTTGTTAAATGGGAAATTACTTCTTTATTATCTTAGCGATAACAACAGTCCCTTCAGTAATAATAATAACAAGCAGCGATAAGATTTAGAGTTTATAATAGAAATTTTCGAAAAGTCTCATTAGAATTACTATCATTTTGAAGAAAGCTGTTTCTGCTATTTCTCACGTAAGACTTTGATCTTTTTAATGTGATTATTAAAATTAGCTCGTAGGTAATCATAGTTAGTTGTTATAATCAATACAGGACTGATACGACCGATCGAAACAACAACGATAACATTTTACGAAAATAAATGAATAATTCCACGTAGAATCTGCATTGTCATAACTGTTTATTGGGTGTGAACGAGTCGAATAAACAATAATTTTCAATGCACAATCTCTCGATATAACAGAAATATGAATACAAACGCGTTCGAAAAGATTAAAATGTGTATGTTATTTTTACTTTGAAGTATCCTGCAAACAATAAATAAAATAAATAAATTCGCGAATATAACTTGTCACAGAGATTTTGATAAATAATTTATATACCGATACACATTTTTACGAATAATATTTCGTGAAATACGAATCAGCTCGTAACATACATTCGTCCTGTTTCCTTCGTTTGTGCAATAAATACGAGAATAGAATAAATTTACGTTGGAACGCGATTGATGGATAGGAGCTTGCGCTCTCTGTAATATCTCTGACGCAAGTTTCATATTTCGCTCGACAATGCTTGAAGCATTAAATAATTCGATAAAGGAAAGCGAGAGCCCAAAGGCTGATAGATTAATGATTTTTCAGGTAACAGGGACACGGACAAAGGCAGGCTGCATCCGAGTAGGTCGTCGACAGAGGACGCAGGGTCGAAAAGTCCATTATCGAGCAGCAGATCCTCTCTGTTCGAGAAGTACTCGTTTCCAGCTACTAAAACTTCAGAGAGGCCCGCCTCCGTTTTGGACAGATATAACCGTGCCACTTCCCGCGAGAAGAGCAGAGAGCCCGACGGTGTATCGCGATACGGATCCAACACGTATCCCGGATCGAGTTTGGCCCGAACTTATGGAAACGAAAGTAGAATCGAGAAGAAAGAGAGGGCCGATCATCCGCCGGTCTCCTACCGTGGATTACGGCCGAACTCCGGCAGAAGTTCCCGCGAACCTAGCCCGGAAGTCAACGTCGGAAAATCAAACTCCTTCAGAATGTATTCCAGAGCCCCCTCTTACGGTCGATCCAGTGTCACTTCTAGTGAGTGAATTTTCTTTCTCTCTATCTTTCTTCTGTTTTAATATTTATTTCGTTAGAAACTGGGTTCGATTATTCGCGAGTTGAAAATACAGGAGCAATGAGAAAGGATAAGTTGCGTGAAGGAATAATATTTCTCATTTCCGTGTATTTCTGTGTATAATTTAGTAAGTATTAATAGCTAGATAGTTTTGGCAAACTTTATGCAACTTCAGTATTTTGTAAAGATATTTAAAAGAATAAGACGAAAGACAGAAAACAATTACCTTCGATTCATTGATTAATACCAAGTATATTTTTTTATTTCTTCTTGTCGTCATTGTACGAAATATAAACTGTAATAAAAATAATTTCACTTTTCTCGCAATCCTTTAGTCGTGGAATAATATTTTCGTAAACGAATTCTAAATTTATGGTTCTATAATGTTGCGCGAGACACGATGGTAAGTAGCACTTCTCTTATCCCCTGGAGAATCGTAAAACAGTATAAGAAGCTTTCCACATGATATTTACAGCTATAAATTTTCACACTTGAGAGCAATGGATCCCGCAGGAAATGGAACTGCAATTTGTTCTAAATCAATTTCCTGTCGGAGATCGTAATGAAGTATAAACTCTGTCGTCATATTTAATATCTTTAATCTTTCATGTTTAAAGTCACACTTTCGTTTAAACGAAGTGTGTACGATATATTAATAAAGTTATTTGCTTAGTTGTTTTATCTCGCACAGAATTTAGAAAATAATCTGGATGTCAATGAATTTTATATTGCAACCATTTTACTCTATATAAACATATTCTTAAGAAATGGCAATTCCTAAGCATTTCTAAAGTTAAAATTAATAATTTAGTCCCTTCGACTGAAAAGGTAATAAACGATTGTTAATTAAGGAGAAATGAAATATTTTATTTTTGAATGGGTTGTAAATATAAGATGAAACAACAACAGAGTTTGCTACAGTGTACGACTAACGATTGATAATTCTCAAGTATCGAAGAATTTCCAAGAGTTAAAAACTCTTCCGTCGTACAATAATTAATCGATCCAACGATAAGAGAAACTTCACTCGACAAACGATTCTTACACGTTCATAAACATTTGCAGGTGCCTCGGAATCGAGCTCGGCGCCAATCTCCTCGAGATTCGGCTCGACAGCTGGCAGCAGGTTTCTTTCGTCAAGGAGCAGCAACGATCGAGTTCCGGCAGCCATAAGCTACTCCGGATCGGACAGGTTCCGAACTTCAGGTAGTAAGCCTACGCCGGCAAATTTAAAGGACGAAGAAACCGCCAAGTCTAACCTGGAGAAAAAAACCGCTCCAGAAACGTATTCCGTAAACGCTGCTGTAAAGTCCGAGGAATTGAAAGTCGACAACAGACTTCAGAACAATGAGACCGTTATGATGGTGACGAGAGGTACGTCGCCCAGTCCGCCGGCTTCCTCGTCCTTTGTGAGGAGCAGAAGGGCCGACATGGGCATTGCGAATCAAAGGGAAGTGACGCGAGTTCGAAAGAAAACGGAGACCAAGGACCAGGAGGTTCAAAGCGAGAGACCCGACGATAATTCCAGATTCTCACGATACGGTGGCGGCGGACGAATCTCTGGGGCTCCGTGGTCCGCGTATTTGGACAAATTTTCCTCGAATTCCAGCGGAAGCGGCGTGTACGGCAGAGGCTTTAACGGCGGTGCGGCCAACCCCAGAGTAAATAGTTTCGCGTTCTCCAGGTCGAACGACGCCTCGAGAAACGACTCGACTTCGAAAGTATCGCCGAGTTCCAGCCAGGAGATCCACGGGACTAGGATCCAGAACGAGCAGAGTACCAAAGTGTTCGGTAGTTTGGGTATTGCAGCGGCGAAAACCGACTCGAAAGCGTCTGCGAGTAATGACCCGGGGAATTCGAAAAAGGATCAAACGGAGGTTAAAGCGCAGAACGGCGAGATTCGCTCGTGCATCGCTGGCAAGACCGAATGCAAAACCAGTCGTTTAGCGAGCCCTTCGGCCTTGAAGAGAGACGACTCTCTGTCGCAGCAAGCTGGTGTAAGTGCCAAGTCGCCAGACTCTCGCGAAAGCGCTTCGAAATGCGAGGAACAACACAATAGCAGGGAAAGTTCAATATCGAGGAGCGAGGATAGCGGTCAGAAGAGACCGTCGATACCGAGATTAGGTCGTGTCGCGACGAAGAACGAGACCAAGATTACCAAGTCATCGTCGTCGTCGAGTTCGTCGACTAGGTCTGATGGATCGATGGAGAGGAGAAGCTCGACGCCGAAGTCCGATACCAGTTCGTTGTCGAAGCTTGATGAATCTTCTAGGATAGTCGAGGGACACTGTCACGAACAGAACAAAGAAGTCTCCACGTCTAAAAGCGATGGCGTCTCCTCTGCGAAAGATTCCTTTCAAAGGTAGCTGTTCAATTCTTGTAGTGAAGTACATGAAATTTTAGAATCACTTTCACATTTATTTTATTTTTAAATATTTTTTGTTTTTTGCTTGATCGTCGATAGGTTTTGTTATTGGGAAGGAAATGTTTTGTTTAGATATTTCGTATTCTTCGAAATAGCGTGCGGTGCCACGTGCCTGAATGAGAGTGCCAAAATTAATTAATCAGTCAAAGTATTTCTCTAATATTATGCAACAATTTCTTCGTTGATATTTGTCTGCACAACTGATGCACATTCTTTCCGTGTATATTTGATACAATTAATTAATACAATTGTGGCAATTGACAGAAAAATCTTGCACAAATCTAAGTTCTATCTCTTTGATCCTTCTTCACTATCAACTAGTACGAGTACACCGTCTATACTATATCTCACACGATTTTTCTCATTTTCCCGATTAAACAGCAACTCGCCTCACAGCCGATCAACGACATCGCAGTCGCGGAGCGGCTCAGCGAAAAATCTCAGCCGACAAGCGACGCGAACCGATTCGTCGGACGGGCCCGCTGTAAATGTGCCAATTGGCAGATCGAAATCGTCGTCGGCCAGTTCGGTGACGAGTCAGGGTGCAAAAATAAAGGCGACGCCGCCGCCATCGCCGGGCAGATCTTCCGCGTCGTGCTCGAGCGCCTCGTCAGTGAATCTGAGACAGGGCGGATCACCGGATGCTCGTGGGAAACCACCTGTGCCGAAGAGCGACGCCGCGTCGGCGAACGCGTCTAAGAGCGTTGTGCCAGTGAAGTACGTGAACAAGGATTTCCGCAAGTCGACGTTGAACATGGAGAACGGTGACCCGTCGCAGTCCAAGTACAGCAGGAAGAAGAAAAGTCAACGAAGCGTGTCCGCCAGTTCTCAGGATTCGCAATCCGAACCGAACTCCGAATCGAATATCCATCGTTCGGCTATCCCGTCGGAATCTAGCTCAAGTTCCGTGAAATCGAATAGATCACGACTGAGGATGCCGTCGTCCAGTAGTACGTCTTCGAAGAGCGTCGGCAGGAAAAGCGAGACAACGAGCGGTTCGTCGAGGCTAGTAAAATCAAGGAGCAGCTCGGAATCGCCTTCCGAAAAGAAAAGCAGACGCGGCGAAACGTCGAGCTCCAGCGGAGAGAGCGAGTCGAACTCTTCGAACTCGTCGAGCAGTGAGGAAGAGGAGATGGAGGAGGAGGAAGAGAAGGAGGAGGACGATAACAAACAGACGAGACCCGGATCGAGGCGTCGTAAGAGGAGAACGTCAAAGTCGCCTTTCTGCGAGAAGAAAGGGAAGATGAGCGCCGGATCGTCGAGGACGAGCGTGCTGGCGTCGTCCACCGACGAGATGTCTTTAACGATGGAGAAACCGCCGAGACCGCCGTCCAGTCCGAGATCGAGGAGCGATCGGGAGCGTTCAGGAAAAACGGAGGAGGCTAAATCGTTCTTGATGAGAGCCCTTGCGCCGGTGACGAATCTCTTCAAGAATAAGCATCAGGATTCCAGCGAGTCGGGTAAATCAGGTGGTTGGCTAGATTCCAACGAGGAGAGCACGGACGCGAGGAAGCCAGAACAGAACGGCGGCGGGACGACGACGTCTTTATCGAGGAGTCTATCAAAGAGCTTCAGTTTCACGAACTCGGAGAAGAACGACGACAGGAGACAGTCAAGCGCGAGGGTCAGACGGAATTTTTCCGGGGAACAGCCATGGTGGATGGATTCGAACACCGACAATGTCCCCGACGGTGTCGAAACGGGTAGCCTGTGCAACGACGAGATCAGTCAAGAAACGACCGTCAGTAATACCTTACCTGACGATGGTAAGTTGGCATTTTCAACTTTAGATCACGAACAGGTTTTTCACTTCGAAACAGTGAATTCTTTCGATACGAGACGTAAAGAAAGCGACGGAATTTAGTTTGGGAAATTGGCTGTGTTTGTCTGATCTGTGTTTACTGTTTCGAAATTTATGAGCAAATTTATGAGGCTTAGCGATATAAAATATTTTGTAATAAATTATCAGGATTTCGGGAGAGGGCGTGTAGCTGGTTTAAAAAACGACTTTTTTCAATCTTATTTTATCAAGTGAAAAAAAAAAAA